AGCTTGGAAGGCTAGAGAAGAGAAGATTGTTGTTTTTTTAGTTCCTTTTTGATGTATTACATGTATATTCAAGCCGAGGGCTTAATGTGTAGATGAGTTAGCACTCTTTTGTTGTAACCAAGTGTTAACTTGGAAAGCTATAAGCCCGTAGGGCATTTTGCTTTTGTTGTTAACATGTAATATTTTTTTTGTAATCAACTCTGATGAATAGAAGAATGTGGTTATTTCATATGTCAATGAATGTCATATTTGATGGGTTTAATGTTATTATTTTGAGGGTGTTACACGTGGCACCTCGGCTGACACTTCGGTGCCACCTCGGCCACGTGTTGTCATTCAGAAATTACGTCTCCACAACTACCCCCTAGGTTCTATTACCTTAGTATCCTAAGGTGATGGAACCTATATCATTTCCTCCACTTAGCATGTCGGCTAAGCTCGTTTTATCCTTCATTACCAAGGCCATCATTCATTAGCCCCATTCGACCAAGACCTGTTAATCTGTTTTCATCAATGCCTTAGGACAAACAATCCAGTCGATTCAAATTATTTAGCCGAGATCATTCTCATAGCCGAGGTCTTTTCTTTATTTAAACCAAGAACTTCAAGAGTTTCAACACGCGTGTGAGCTGTCACGCACAGTATTTTAACCGTTTTTGCCACGCGTCTTTCCCCTACTAAGCCGTACCTGACACGCGCCATTAAGCCATATCACTCGTGCGTGCGCCGTCTGACAAGCACGTTGCCCTAGGCACATTGATTGCAATTTTGACGTCATTTTGTGGTTTTCATCAAAATCACTTCGCTCACTACGTTCTCGTTCAAACTCTCTCTCTCAAATCCTCCATTGCTGCTTTCGCGAAGCTTTCTGCAGCCAGTTCCATCATTCCCCTCCGGCGAAGCTTTTGGTGATCTTTTCCAATTGCTGCCGTCATCTAACTCCGGTGTACTCAACACCGGCTTCATTTTCTTCGATGAGTCACTATTCCTCCTTGTTTCTATTTCTTATTTTACTCCAAAAGAACTCCTCTGCTGTACTCGCTACCTTTGCGTACTTGCTCATGTCTTTTGATCGTTAATTTGTGCCTTGAATTCCACCATGTATTGAGCATGTTTGTTTCATGATTCTGTTTTTGCCCAATCCATTCTTGAGTATACACACACTGCTTACATATCTGTTGATTTTTGCCATTGTTCTTGGCCTTACACACCTGCACAAACTTTATCACTATTCTTGATTCTGAATCATTGTTCTCGTTTCTGTTTTCTGTGTCTTTTCCAGATTCTTGCCTTCAATCTTTATTTGCCTAGACTTAGGTTTAGGATTTGTCGTAGAACTCACGAATCTTAGGGAAAATTGAAACGAATTCCCCTTAGATCCTAACAAATTCTTACCCCAGCACACATTTAGGTTTTGGCCGAGGTCCTTCAAACCCCTACAAAACACTTCCTTTTAAAGCCCAACACTTTCCTCTTAAGCCGACATCATAGGTATGTGGAGGTATAGGGTAGACACCCCAACCAAGTTAGAATATTTCAGGCAGAAGTTTTCCATTCCTGCCGACGTCCATCTCAGGTTGGTTGGGGAGGATGACTCTATCATGCCCACAGTCGATTCCATGCCCTTCCCAATTGTAGCTTTCATAGAGTGTGGGCTTAGGATCCCTCTTGACATCCTTTTCCGAGAAGTCCTCCATTACTACAAATTGAACCCAATGCAGCTCACCGTCAACTCTCATCGAGTTATTAATGGCATAATAGCCTTAGCCAAAAAAGAGAACGCTAGGGTTACTCTTGCCGATATCCAGTACTGATATACCATGTGTGGCCTCAAGTAAGAAAAAGGCTACATCTATTAACTCAAACCGAGGTCCACAGAATACAAACTTGTTGCCGACCTCCCAGACTCCAACAAGGGAGCCGGAGATGATTACTTCATTGTCTCGAGCAACTGGGAGTTCCTTCCAGATGACGACCTTCACCTCTACCCTCTTAGCCGTATATTGTTCAAAGAGGGAGACGGGAAGAGCCAAGTGTTTTCTTTTTCTTGCTTTCAAGTCTTTCTTACTTTGATGTTTTTGTATGTGCTAACCTCCTTTCGTTTTTATCTTTGCAATTCTTCCTCAACCCCCGAAGGACTTTCGAAAAAACTTCTACCCCAGCAAGGATTTCAACAAGCTGCTGGACTTGCCTGTTAACCAGCATAGGGCTCCTCTTCTTCTGAATTTCATCCCGACTTACAGATCTGTTCTTCCCGACGTCCCAAGAAAAAGCAAGAGCAAGTCTCCTCTATCAGCTACAACTCCACAAACTGAATCATCAAGGCCTGACCGAGGATCAACATCTGATCCTGCAGAGTAACCATCTACCTCGGCTCCACAACTAATCCCTCCATCTCAATGCAAACGCCGATGTAAAACAGCCATCGCCGCCGAGATGGGTCGCAAGAAAGCTGTTGCAGACGACCTTCTGGCCGACATCCCTAATACTGTCACTGCTTAACCTTCACCATCCCAATCCTAGCCGAAACCAAAGCCCAAAAGGCTGAAAAAAGCATAACCCAAGGCAACGGTGACTCAGATCGACTCTGAGGACAACTTACCGATCTCTAAAATTGCCGAGGTAGAAAAAAGTGCCTCCGCGGCCGAAAAGAGGCCTGCCGAGGCTGCACCTTCCGAATCAACTAGGTCAAAGAGACCGAGGTCCGAATCAGCAACAACCTCGGGTTCTCTGAAGTCTGATGCCCCTTGGGCTCCCCCAATTATAATTGAGGACAAGCCGGTTAGAGCTGGCAACAACGCTGACGACATTGAAGTCAGTGTTGCTCTCTCAATAGCCTTACTCCTCCCCAAAGATCTCAATCACAACGCCGAGATGAGCTAGTATGAAAACTTCACTCTAATGTTGCAGCACTCCGTCCAAGTAAGCCCTTAACACTTGGTACTTTTTCATTTTCTGCTATTTCATACTTAGAGAGTTTTACTAACTCGTTTTTTCCATTTCTTCTAGGCGATCCAACATGGCCACTCCTTTATGATGCAAGCCTTTGCCATCAAGAAGGAGTTGGCCAACAAGACTAGGGAGGCTGCTAGCTTGCAGAAGACCATCAACAAGGTCGAGGCAAAGATAAAGACCTTGACAAATCAGGCCAAGGCAGCCAAGAAGGCTCAGGACGAGGCCGAGGAAAAGGCTGATGCTGGAGAGGCCATTGCTAAGGTCCTTGCAGTCAAAAAGAAAGAGGCTGAGGCAAAGATGGTCGAGGCCCAAAAAGAGCTTCAAGATGCCCTAGCCACAAAAGAGGCCGAGATCAAATCGACGGACGAGAAGGCGTACACCGAGAGGGCGACCAACGTCAGAGAAGATTACAAGAAACAAGTCAGACAGGCATGCAACAAGGGCTATACCCTTGGTTGGATGGCTGCTCTGAAAGAGTTGGTCATCCTCGAGATTCTCTTTGAGAAAACAACCGCATCGTCCTACCATTCCCCTCTACTCCAAGCCAATCCGAGGACGAGGCTAAGTCCGAGGAGGAAGCTGAGGCCGAGAAGAACAAAGAGGCTTCTGGGACCAAGTCCCCTACTCTGAATGAGCAAGTCTTGGACTTGACTCAGGATGAGAAAGACGAGGTCTCAAAAGAAGCTACCCCTGAGAAGACAGCATCTGACGCACCTGTCGTCGAGAAAAGCATCGACCAGAATCTCCAAGAGATTTATGCCAAGCTCGCGGCTGAGAAGGCTGTCGAAAAGAGTTCTCAGATGTCTTCCGAGCCCAAACCGATGCTAACGCCGAATAGTCTAGTCTTGATGTTTTTCCTCTGTTAATGTAAGCTTTAATTTGGCTGACGTGTCATTTTTGTAATCTGAACAATTTTTCTTCAATGTCAGGCCGAAGTACCTTCTTTCCTTATCTGAATGCAAGTCTTCTTTTTTTTGACTAAGTCTTTGTATGCTTGTCTTTTCTTCATGTCTTGTATGATTCCATACTTAGAATAATTTACATGTCTTCAACGTACACCTTAACTGTGTAATCTTCTCGGTGTGGAATACTTCGGCTATACCCACTAATAGTTTATCTCGACTTTGACCTAACACTTGAAAATATTTCTCAGAATATTTTTACAAGTGTTATTTACAACTTGCCACTTCCGTCTTCCAATATCTTCCAAGTCTTGGCAAGTACGTAGGTACTTCTTTCAATACAGCCTTGGCTTAACTTGTAAACTTTTTTAAAAAATTTCAACTAGTGTTAAACCAATCTTCTTTTAGCGTGACCTCGGCTTAACTTCAACTTGTAAAAATTTCAACAAGTGTTAAACTAACCTTAGCTTGTAAATTCTAACTCCCAAGCATCATTCTCCAGCTCTCTGCCCCTTAATGTGAACCTAAGTTCTACTTGGGTTCTCATTAAACATGTGGCCTTGACCTTGTTGCCGAGGTCAAATTCAAATAAAGAGTGGCCGAGGTTACCAACCTTGGTCTCTTTGTTAATCTGATTGAGTTGTACTTTGTTCCAATCTATGTTTGACTCTGCCGATATGGCAAGTTCAAGTTGATTCAACTTAGTTGAACTCTATTATATGCAAGTAGGAACTTTTGCCATATAATAAGTCTAAGTTATTCGTCATGTTCCAATCAGAAACATCGCCAACTTAGTTCAACTCTATTATATGCAAGTAGGAACTTTTGCCATATAATAAGTCTAAGTTATTCGTCATGTTCCAATCAACTCCCAAGCATCATTCTCCAGCTCTCTGCCCCTTAATGTGAACCTAAGTTCCACTTGGGTTCTCATTAAGCATGTGGCCTTGACCTTGTTGCCGAGGTCGGATTCAAATAAAGAGTGGCCGAGGTTACCAACCTTGGTCTCTTTGTTAATCTGATTGACCTGTACTTTGTTCCAATCTATGTTTGACTCTGTCGATATGGCAAGTTCAAGTTGATTCAACTTAGTTGAACTCTATTATATGCAAGTAGGAACTTTTGCCATATAATAAGTCTAAGTTATTCGTCATGTTCCAATCAGAAACATCGCCAACTTAGTTCAACTCTATTATATGCAAGTAGGAACTCTGCCATATAATAAGTCTAAGTTATTCGTCATGTTTCAATCCGAAACATCGCCAACTTAGTTCAACTCTATTATATGCAAGTAGGAACTCTGTCATATAATAAATCTAAGTTATTCATCATGTTTCAATTAGAAACATCACCAACTTAGTTCAACTCTATTATATGCAAGTAGGAACTCTGCCATATAATAAATCTAAGTTATTCGTCATGGTTCAATCAGAAACATCGCCAACTTAGTTCAACTCTATTATATGTAAGTAGGAACTCTCCTATATAATAAGTTTAAGTTATTCATCATGTTTCAATCAGAAACATCGCCAACTTAATTCAACTCTATTATATGAAAGTAAGAACTCTGCCATATAATAAGTCTAAGTTATTTGTCATGTTTCAATCAGAAACATCGTCAAATGACTGGTTAGTCAGATTACACAAGTTTTAAAAATCAAGCTAAAACTTTATTATTACTTCGGCTAAAAACAAAAAACTTTAAAAAAACAAGAAAAATCTAATGATAGAAAAAATTCGGATTGCAAGTATTCCAGGGTCTTGGCAACTCCTTGCCTTCACTGTCTTCAAGCCGAAATGCCCCATTGCCCAATACCGAGATGATTCTATAGGGTCCCTCCCAATTTGGGCCAAGCTTTCCCTCTTTGGGATCCTTCTTATTGTCGACGACCTTTCTCAGGACGAGGTCGCCAACTTGGAACTCTCGCGGGTTCTCCTTCTTATTATAAGCTCTGGCCAGCCGCTGCTGGTATGCCCCCAGTTGAATTGCTACTTCTGTTTCTTGTATGTTGCAAATGGATTTCATTGCTGCCATGGAGCAATTCTTGTCTGCACCTGATCCCCTATGACCTCCTCAA